GTTAACGTGAGACTAGTGAGATTGAATTTCTTACTGAGCTCGTTTTTTTTTTTAAAGTCACTCTGGATATTTCAACAAAGCTGTCTTGATGATGTAACGCCGGTAAATCTGGTAAACCAGGTACAACTTTCACACAATATGCGCAAAAGGACAGGGGTTGTTTACATACAGAAGAATCCACCCACAGGAATTATTTCACAGGAACATTCTTCTACCTAGAAAAGTCTCCTAATCTCACTCATAACCACAACTCAACAATTTAGATTTAAAGCAGAACTGAAGTGGATGGTGAACTGCTGCTTAACAGCTTTAAAATGGAAAAAAACAGCATCACAAAAGTATGTGCACTATATTCTAAGTCTTACAAAACCAAATAAATCATATATATGTAATTATCAAAAATCAAAAAGCTCAAAAATGAAAAATCTTAAAATCTAAAAAGAAAATGTAATTTACAATATGAAAACAATTTATAATAGTGTATAAATAATAGTAAAATATTAAATATAGCATTTATGTTTAAATATCAGTCTTAGCATTGCATTGCATTGCTCAATATTTTACACCACAGACAGTGGCATTGAATCATCGTCACATGGCTGATTGTGATATGCTGCGAAAAAGGTTTGACAGCTCTGGTGAAACGCTGATGATTATCAGTGGACAATGAAAGTGTATTCACATTTTTGGAGGAAACACAATCTCAAACTTGATCTAATTGTGTTTTTTCACATGAAAAGAAAGAAATGAATAAGGGCTTGGAATCATAAGGGAGAGTAAATGGTACCAAATTTTCAAACTACTCCTTTGCTGATCAATTTGTACAAGAAATTCTACACGCCGATCAGAAACTTTAATGTGATTTATAATGCAAACGGTATGTGTTACTGTACCTGTTGAATCCAGCGACTTGGAGACTTTAGTATCTTTGCTCTTCTTTGATTTCTGCATAGAAAAAAAAAATACCTAGCATGAAAAATTTTCTTAATGTCTAAAATCATATGAAAAAAAACAAAAAAAAAAACATGGAAGTCGAAATAAAGGAAGTGAAAGCGGTTTTTGCTCATTCAGTTATGTTCAGGGTGCACTTACATTTCCTCATCTCTTACAAATTACATTACGATAATGAATTTGCTTTTACTGGCCATTTTTAAGTGTAGCTTCCACCAAGTACATCCCAAAGACCACTGCAATTCTATATCAGCAAAGCATCAATTTACTTTAGCAGTTTTAGCCTTTAATCGGCGCTCCTCCATTGCCTTCTGTAGCTTCTCCGCCTCCTCTTTAGACCCATTCAGCATCACAAGGTTGTCTTCTTGGAAAGGATTTCCACACTTAAAAAAAAAAAAAAAAAGACACATGAACGTGAATATTAAAACTATGGAAACATTTAAATACTGTTAAATGACTAGTTTTGGCACAAAAAAATTAAAAATCTAATTAAAAATCAAATTAAATAAAGAAAAACACAAAACATACGCATTATAATAAAATAAATTAAAATAATTAAAAATAAAATTAAATCTAAAATGAAAAATAAAACATGTATACACAATAAAAACTAAAACAATTACAAAGAAATGGCAAGTAACACATTGAATTGAATGTAATTTTGAGGTAGAAAAACGGAAAAAGCATTTTCCTGTAAAACACGCTCCAATAACCATTTACAACTTTGGAAAAAAATAAAAAATAAAAAAAATGTTTCCAGTGTAGTAAAGTGTATGATAAGACTATGATAATACACAGTTACCTAAAAACTGTCTGAAAGCAAAGTGCACAAACTGGAGAACTGATAATATGTCACTAAACAGGTCATAAAGCAGGTATGACGGCTTTGCCTGAAAAGCAGATAAATGTTGCACTGATGACTAAGTTACCCGAAAGCCAAACGCACACACACAATGACACAGGCATTCAGCAGCAGCTATTGTCCTGCACACAAGCAGCACTGGCACACACAAGAGCGCTAATCTCTCTCACGCATCAGCAAACGCACGGGCCGCCAGCCCTCGGGCTCACTACAGGTCAGTTCTTTCTGTCTCTGCGCTCAGGTCGGGAAAAAACAAGGAGCTAATGCATCTGGAATCGTATTTATCTGCAAAGCAAGCATCTGAAGCAGCGAACAGGAGTTGGAGAGAGCAAACAGAGATGAAGATCATGACGGTAAAGCTGGAGAGTGAAACAAATCTGCAGCATCTACTAAACAAACTAAACTAAATCTGGTTGATGCTTTAAAGTCAGCATAAAAATCAAAACGGACAACATTTACTTCCTTAATACACATTTCTGCTCTTACTGTGCGCAATTTCCTCAACGCATGTTATTGCGGCTTAAACAAAAAAACATTTTTTGCAATACAAATGTAACATTTTGGTTTTGTTTCTAAAAGCTACTTTACATGGACTGCTAAAGTAGCTATTTTTGAAGCTTGACACTCTGTTTACATTCAAAATGCAAATGACTAAACAACTAAATTATTACAGAATTTACATTAAAAATTCATTTAAGAATTAAATCAACAAACTAACTCTCCACTGCGCCTTATGTGTATGAAAGCCATTCTTTAAGACCATTATAACTGCTTTAGTCAACTGTAAACCTGAAACCATATAAAATCACTAACCGTAATCATTCACTTTCTTAAATCACATTCTAGATCTTATTGTGCACAATTCCCTTTTATTATTGTTGCTATAAAATTTAGTATAGGCTATTTTTTTTACTGAGCTTTGTTATTTTTGAATATTGACAGTCCTTGCTCATTTAAAATACAAATGATGAAAATAAATGTCTAAATGATGACAGAATTGTATTTTTATGCATGATAGTAATTAAAATGGACTCAAAATGAAATAAAAAAAATTTAAATGTACTTTCTTAATGCACATTCATGATCTTATTGTGCACAATTTGCTCAATGCAAATTATTCCAAATTTCATTGTTCACAGTCGAGATGCAAATAATAAAAATAAATGACTAAATAATGACAATTTTAATTTTTACGAAAGATAGCAACAATTTGTTTAAAAACTTAATCAAGTAATTATGAAAATTAAAATGGACTTTCAATTTACTTTCTGATATGATTGTGCACAACTTCCTCAATGCACATTATTGCACATTTAAAAAGCACCTTTGCTATAAAAATTTACATTTTTGGTCTGCTATTTACACAGATACATATATGAACTGCTAAAATAGTGATTTTTTGTTATATTTGAAGCTTGCCCATCCTTGTTCACATTCAAAATGCAAAGTGATCAAAATAAATGACTAAACAATGACAGAATTTTCATTTTTATGCATGATGGCAACTATTTGTTTAAGACTGAACCAATTAGTAACTTATTCCCACGTTACTAAAAGTTACTAGAAGTGCATAATTTCCACAAGCATTTTTGCAATAAAAATTAAAAATTTTGGCCACTTATTTAGGCTACTATACATGGACTGTTAAAGTAGCTATTTTAGCTTTATTGTTTTTTTTAAGCTTGACAGTCCTTATTCAAATTCAATATGATGACAGATTATTATTTTTTATGCATGACAACAACTACTTGTTTAAAACTGATCTTATTGTGCACAATTTCTTCAATGCATATAATTCCAAATTTAAAAAGCATTTCTGCAAAAACAAATGTAAAATTCTACCCTGTTATTTACACAAAGCTTCTATATATGAACTAGGGCTGGGTTTTGACACAAATTTCACGATTCGATTCGATTCTCATTCACAAGCTTGTGATTCGATTCGATATCGATTAATTTTGATACATGTCAGGTACAGTACATACCAAATTTTCAAAGAAAAAAAATCTCTCAACTAATGCTGTAAAACATGAGTCAGTTGGTACTACATTACTATAATATTGAAGGTTAAAATTGACTGATTTGTTAAAATTACACTTAATTACGTTTTTAAAATAATAAAGTTACAATTACATAATAATATTTCTACTTCAATTCGTTTTTTTGAAATATAAACATAATGGTGGCTGTCATAAAAACTTGATGAATTTATTCAAACATTAAACATTGAAGAACAGTAAAATGTATAATGAATATGTAATATGGTGCATATATTTAGCAAAATGCCCCTCTCTACAGTTTATTTTTCTATCTGACTAATGAGTTTATAGTCACTGAATGTGTTTTTCTGAGGTAAATGTGACGTTACGTGACATTGTTTACAAGCCGTTATATTGACGTCTTAGCACGGCTGAAACACTGATTGAGCGACTACATGAGACAGGCTACGGATTGTAAAGTTGTACTCTTTCTTTTAACTTACCTTCGGATGTTTAGTCATGTTTATTTTGTGCTGAAGCTGGTATTAATGTGGAGGAGATGATCAGTTCATGTGCGCCTTGCGCTGCTGCGTCTGTTGATCTGAGGTGCTTCTGCGATCTGTCAGTCCACATTAAACAGCACCAAAACGACATTTATTGTTTGAATATTGCAATACAATGGACAGAATTTGAAATCTGAGACTTTGTTTCATATTAAAAGTACCAAGGCACAATGCTTATTGCGATTTATTGGATGGGAGGTGCGCTTAAATGTTCCGTCCATTAACTGAAAACAGGCTAGACTAATCGATTCTTGGGATTTAAGAATCAATATCGTTCCGTAAAAATGAGAATCGATTAATATTGAGACATCGATATTTTTTACCCAGCCCTAATATGGACCGCTCAAGTAGCTAATTTTTTCTTTTTTTGTTATTTTTGAAGCTTGACCTTATTCACAATAACAATGCAAATAGTAAAAGAACTAACCTAATTATAACAGAATTAGCAAGTATTAATTTACAAATTTAAGCAACTAATTCCCCACTGCCTTTATGAAAGGCATTCAGGACCAATAAAACTTCAGGCATTCAGGACCAATATCGACGCTTTAGGCGACGATAAACCTGACACCATATAAAACATTGAACCAGTTCTGCTGAATACAACAGGTTACAGAACTGGTTAGACGTTGTGCTAAAGATGAAATGCCATGCTTGATGAAAATATGATTAGCAAAAGAGGTGCAAATTACAGCAAGGGCTGGGTCAACCGTTTTTCACCTGCTCACGCTCCTCCCCCTGTCCTCTCATGGGGAGTGTTACTGAGCAGCCAAACCCCACAGTAGTGGGAGGACCGCACACACACAGAGTCATAATAACAGCAACAACCGGCTGACACCCAGAGCAGTTTCACTCTCTCACAGAAAGACAGATGCTCGGCAAGGATTTCTGCTCACGGAGGAGCCTTTTAGACAGAGGTCATGTGGATGTTAGCGTGTTTGTGGCTGTGTAATCCCATTTCCTATTTAAGGAGTGGAAACAGCTTGAGCTGAAAGGTAAGCACACTTTGACTCATGGATTATTGGCCTGTTACTAATGCACTTGATGTTTATGCTTCAGAAAACCAAAACATGTGTGGCGGAGAACCTATAAAGAGGTTTCATTTTGCTTTTTAACTACAAAAAAAAAATCTAATGTATATTGTATAAAGGTTATACTGTCAGAGTTGGACATTTTTGTTTTCTGCATCAGCACATTTTTAGTGATACCAGTCTGTTACTCTTAAAGCCTGAGGTTTGATTGTACACTCGTTATCTTAGCAGGTGCTATAGTTCATTTGCTATCTAACGACTACTGAGACATTTAGAAAATTAATCATCTTTCGATACAAAACCATGTAATGACACTGAGATTGTTTGAAAGCATATATATTAAAGTTGAGGAAGCGATTAATATATAGCATTGTGATTAATACCTAACGCACTGTAGATCTGGAATGAGTTTAAAGTTCATGTGCTTTTTAAACACTTCCTTAATCAATCAATAGTTGAGACTTCCTAGACTACAAAAACTCTATACATTTGTATTACACTTGATTTCAATTTACTGTTCAATTTACACTTGATGTAAAAGTTTCCACTGAAGTAGAAGTTGCGCAAGTTTTCTTTAGTAATTGGTTTGTTTGCAGAGTTACCTGAGCAAAGGCCAGACTACTGCTCTTACAATTCGCCCATAACCATTCATGATAATGCAATACCTAATTAAGTTATCAGTTAAATGGCAAGTACACAAGGTGTCAGGTTGGACACTTTCTTTCATCACTCTGTCCAAAACAGTCAATATAGTATAATACAGCCATCAGTTACAGTCATCGGTTACCATTAATTATGTTCCCCAAAAAGGACTTTAATAATCCAAAATGTTTTTTATAACTCGTGGTGTCCTCATTTTAACAATTAGATTTCTTAAATATGATGTTGATGATGCATTTCAACAGAAATACATTTCTATCTAGAAGCATTAAGCAAAACCATAGCATCCTGCCATATTTATCTATTTTCTGCTAAACATGCACTGCATGTAACCAAAAAACGAAAATCAAATGCAAAAACACCAACTAATAATATCACTAATAAATTAAGAATACGCAATAATCATTTCATACCCCATTTTTGATTCTTTCTTTTTTTTGTCGCAAAACACAGTACTTTAAGCCAACCATATTAAACCACACTAAATGGCATACTAAATCTTTAGTGAAACTCAGTCACGCCTTCTAAGGAACCATTATGTCATACAGTGATTTCATCCATTAAGTAGTTCTTAAAATCTCATCAACACCATTTTTTTTACAATCTTCTGGATGCCTTTAAACTAGAATTGATTTGATAGCGATATCTTAAACTCGAGCTAAACACTGTACACACTACCTGATGCTGATAGAACGGTGTGTGCTTTTCATTCTTTAAGGTGACAATGGACAATGTCAGCGTGTTTTATAAAACCCTGAGGGTTCATTAAAACGACTGAACAAAACTGATATCCAAAGCTCATTTGTGTCCAGCAACTGGGACCTCCAACAGTGAAGGCAGCTCTCTGGGGTGCTATTAAAAGGAAACCCGAGGGTTACTGCGCTTAGAAAAGAGTGACACAACAGAGTTACATCCAGGTGGGAAAATACTTTTGTACCCTCATACAGATGTGAAGGCAATCGGCGTTACTGTCAAAGGGTATGACCATTATGCGTCATTATGAGAGTCAGCAAATGCTCTTGAGTAATGGAGACGCCCGTTCAAAAATAAGTTTGTCCATGTATGTAATGATATGATCAATTCTGTCCATGACTTCACAACACAGCTGAGATGGAGCCACCCAAAACATGTGCTCTAAAAGTCCTCTGAGTTTCATGTAGTGACATGATTCACCTTAATGTCATTGATCAAAAAATAAATAATAAATAAATCATTTTGAAATTATTATAAGTATTTCAAACATCTAGATGTGTAGATGTTTATTTAAAAAATGAGTTTAGCTAACATAAATAAACAATACTTTTATAGCACTCACTACTGGTTAATGTTAATTTCTACATATAATAGTAACTTGTCAAGCTGTAAATAAACATAATGCAATGTATTTTGAATGAACATGATGCAATAATGAATTAACATTAACCTAGATTAATAAATGCTGTAAAAAAACTGTTAAGTCAATATGTAATGCATTAACTAATGTTAACGGTTATGGTAAAGTGTTACACGTAACGTCTAATTAATGATTCTGTGATACTGATTACCTCAAAAATAATTTTGACTTGGGTAAAAGTGGGAAAGTCAAGCATATTTTTTTCAAGTACAACAATTATTTAGTAAAATGTGTATAATTCAAGCTAAAAACTTTTTGAAAGAAATTAATACTTTCATTCAGCAAGGATGCATTCAATTCATAAAAAGAGCCAATAAAGACATTTATAATCACTAAAGATTATAAATCGGCATCATAGTTTCCTCATAATTATGAAGCAGCAAAACTGTTTTCATCATTGATAATAATCAGAAATGTTTCTTGAGCAGCAAATCAGCATATTAGAATGATTTCAAGATCATGTGACACTGAAGACTGGAGTATAGATGCTGAAAATTCAGCTTTGATCACTGGAATAAATTACATTTAACACACATTAGAAACATTTCTTTCAAATTATAATATTTCACAATATTACTGTCATTTTCACTGTATTTTCAATCAAATAAATGCAGACTTGATGAACAGAAGAGACTTATTTCACTTCTTTATCAACACGATTAACGAACTGTTATGCCAGAAGTTTCTTGGTTCTGTGCTTATTTAATGATTAACAGAAAGGGGTGTGTGATATTTGAGCACTTCCCCATGTTGTAACAATTTCCTCTCTTATTATTTTCCTCTTCTGCTCTGTTTCAGGAGGTCTGTAGCTGCTTTTCAGATGCTGGACTATTATGGTCCAGCTTGAGAGCACCAAGTGCAGTTTTCTCTTCTGCCTTGGAGTCTGCATCCTAATATGTTCTGCCATCTACCTGAAAGCCAAAATACCCAACACCCCCATTCCATCAACTGACTTGAGCAGTCAAACCACACCAGCCCCCCAAAGCTGTGACATTCTTCCACCTGCAACTCCAGGGTTTACATGGCAGCGAAAAGACTGTAAGAAAATCAGCTATGAGACCAAACCGGACGCAAACTGCTCTCTTTTGCAGTCAGATCTGCACTTTATTACGGCGCCGCTGAGCAAAGAAGAAGACGACTTTCCTTTGGCTTTCATAATCACCATCCACAAAGAGCTGGAAACGTTTGTGCGGCTACTGAGAGCCACTTATGCGCCACAGAATGTGTACTGCATTCACATAGACGCTAAAGCACCGGAAGAATACAAGACGAGCGTCCGAAACTTAGCTGGGTGCTTCCCGAACATCTTTGTGGCGTCCGTTAACGAAAAAGTGACTTACGCAGGCTTTTCCCGTCTGCAGGCTGACATCAACTGCATGAAGGACCTAGTGAAGTCTCCTACAAAATGGAAAAGAGTTATAAATCTGTGCGGCCAGGACTTCCCAATCCAGACCAACCTGGAGCTGGTCCGGTACATGCAAGGATCCAAATGGAAAGACAGGAACATGACGCCGGGAATCAGGCAGCCACCCACTATGAAGCACAGGACTGAGTTTCAGTACAAGGAGGTAAAGGGCACCCATGTGGCACCAAAAGGCAAGGGTCAAAAGAAGGGACCACCTCCTCACAACCTGACAATGTACTTCGGAACTGCCTATTATTCCTTGACGAAACCGTTTGTGGAGTTCGTCCTCAACGACAAGGTGGCCAAAGACTTGCTGGAGTGGTCTAGAGACACCTTCAGCCCAGATGAGCATTACTGGGTGACTCTAAATCACATGAAGGGTAAGTCAGAACGCAATAATCATGAGTGTGTTTGCTTTAAAATGCAATGTTGACTCAGTTCCAGTCAGCAAGATAACAGAAATATTGATGACAGAAAACTGCTCAGAAGCATGTGGTCTTCCAATCATGAAATTGGTCCTGCATGTTTACTCAGAAGCACCTGGCAGTTATGTAGAAGGCGAATGGGAAGGTAACGTGCGTGCAATCAAATGGAAGGACCAAGAAGGAACAGTACACCAGGGCTGTAAAGGTACGAGAATGTCAAGCGAACACTTTTTACTCTGACATAGGATACGGTTTTATCCAAAGCAATCTGTCACAGAATCAACAATATTTCTAGTATACAATGCCACATTTATCCATGGTTTCTGCAGGTTTTATGAAGGCAAATGTAATATTTTGTTTTTTAACCTTTTTAAGACCAAGTAAAGAAAATTTAAGGAATAAAATGAATGAAACACAATACATCACTGTGGTCTGCAAAAGTGAATGTCTTGAATTAACAGCACATATTTGATATTGTGTAATTTCACAAATGACATCAAATAATCCAAAAAGCAATTATCTGCCAACAACAATGTAATTTTTTTGACGCTGACAAAAGAACATATTATAGCCATAAACATTTACATCATGACCACTAATAGACAATTAGTCAAACATATCACCACAAAATGGTACTACAGCTGATGGAATATACTGCCATGTGTCATCCATTTGCAGTACAGGCATAAATGATTTCTCTATTCATGTTTTTTGAGGAGAGATGTACTGATGCTTTATTAAACTTTCTGACTTTTTACGATAATTTTCACCTGGTGGACAGAAAGCTGGTGAGCAAGTACAACTCACGTCAAAGTCTCCAAAGATGCATAAATGCTATTATATAAATAAAAAAGTTTAGCATATGAAATCAGAAATAAAATAAAATGAAAATTTGGGTGAAAAAAAAAACATGCCACTGAAGCATAACTTTATGTCTAAAGTAATTCATATTTTTAGATTAGATTTACATTTTTAGATTTTAAAAAAAGTTTTTTTATGTTAAAAATGTTATAAATATATTTTAATATTTATTTCAACCCTCAATCGAGTTCTGCTCTAAATGATATTACAAAAAAAAAAAAAGCCTGCAATCTGGTCAGCTTTCCCTGGTGTTTAAGACAGAATGAAAAATGCCTATTCAAAACCTAGACACATGTAACGCAATACATAACCACAGGTTATGATTAACAGCACCAAGAATAGTTAAAAATTTGCTTGGAAATGGATAACCCTCAGAGGTTTATATTCTATATTCAAATACAGCTGAATGTTTGTCGACTCACAACATGCCGACCTGCACCGATCTCACTGGTTTATGCCGGTTTGGAGAAGAGATGGACTGCAGGATGCAGTTTCCCTATTTCCGCCTTAATGCTCGGATTAATTGAGACAAATGCCACAGAGAAACGGCAGCTAGCTGAGCCTGAAACCAATTAGACCGAGGCAGGGGACTGGGAGGTTAATGATTCACTACTGAGAGTGAAAGACAAGTCGCACTCATTAGCCACGGTCCAACTCCATCCAATCACAAGCGTAAACACAGCATTACGAGAAAGGTGACAAATCACCTGGACAAAGAAAAAAACAACCAGAGCTGCTGACTGCTTAACTCAGAGCTTATCTTCGCCTATGATAACAACTCATTATCCACATCCGCATTTGAAACTGTCAAACTAGATATATGTGAGAGACTAGAGGGCTAGAGATAAAGCACCTAAAAGTGTGCTATAGTATATTTTCAATACTGTCAAAGTGGCCATCTTGGTAACACTCCCAAACAGAAAGTACAGCTTTAATATAGAAATCTGAATGTTTGTTCAACTTTAGTTCCATTAATATATTAACATACACCACTCAAACGTTTGGAATAATTTGTTTTTTTTTTATGTTTTTGATTGTTATTTATCACAAATACTGTAAAAACTGTATTTTTTTTTACAAATATAAAATAGCTAGTTTTCTATTGTAAATTATTTTAAAATATAATTTATTTATATGGCGCAAATAAGGAATAAAGCTAGCAATATATTTTTTTTACAATTAAAAATTGTTGTTTTCTATTGTAAATTATGAAAAAATTTAATTTATTTCTGTGGTGCAAATTAGGAATAAAATTAGCAATATATATATATGTTTTTTTTTACAATTAAAAATAGTTGGTTTCTATTGTAAATTATTTTAAAATATAATTTATTTCTGTGGTGCAAATTAGGAGTAAAATTTAAGATAAAAGGCTGTGCATGTGCATTAGCGTAAACATATTAAAGACAAAAGCTCTATGAAAAACTCATACTTCAAAGCAGGACAGCAGATAAACAAAACAGCCTTTATGAAAAACTGAACGTTAAATGAAAACACATTTAGATCTATTGAAAACCATTATCTCTGACCTTTGATCGACATTTAACTAAGATAATGTGTGTGGACAATTTTCATAAAGGAAGCATGAATTACTTTATGCCTCTGGTCATTTATGGCCTAAGGTTTCAGGAAGATTATTAACATACAGCTGCTGTAATAAAGTGCCTATGCAAAGACAAAAGGAAGAGATCGATAACAGGTCAAAGATTCAAGAGAATCAAGAACGCTGCTTTTCACCTACCTTGTGGCAGATTTCAGTCTTCACCTCTCTGAGCGCTCGTTTGGAGAAAACACACCCACAGGTCTGCAGGTATAAAAACCTCAAGACAGACAGAACAGCACAGTGATTACAACCACAAGAAGCATCTCATGGAAACAGGAAAATATCAAGAGAAATTTAACAATGTGAAAAAATGAACACATATTTTCCACTTGGCAGCTATAAACTTTAAAAGAGTATCTATTAGGGCTGGGTAAAAAATATCGATATCTCGATATTAATCGATTCTCATTTTTACGGAACGATATCGATTAGTCTAGTCTGTTTTCAGTTAATGGACGGAACGTTGAAGGGCACTTCCCATCCAATAAATCGCAATAAGCATTGTGCTTTCGTACTTTTAATATGAAACAAAAGTCTCAGATTTAAAATTATTCTGTCCATTGTATTGCAATATTCAAACAATAAATGCCGTTTTGGCGCTGTTTAATGTGGACTGACAGATCGCAGAAGCGCCTCAGTTCAACAGACGCGGCAGCGCGTAGCGCATGTGAACTGATCATCTCCTCCACATTAATACCAGCTTCAGCACAAAATAAACATGACTAAACATCCGAAGGTAAGTTAAAAGAAAGAGTACAACTTTACAATCCGTAGCCTGTCTCATGTAGTCGCTCAATCAGTGTTTCAGCCGCGCTAAGACGTCAATATAATGGCTTGTAAACAATGTCACGTAACGTCATATTTATCTCAGAAAAACATATTCAGTGACCATAAGCTAGTGATAGACCGATATTGATTTTTTTATAACCGATACCAATTATTTGCATATTTATGTGCCCGATAACCGATATGCAGAATCAATATTTATTTACTGTTATAAAGTAAATAAATGACTGAGTGAAGTAAGAATATACTTCACTTTGGTTTTTCCTCTTTTCAAGTGTTGAAAATATACAACAGAGAGAGAATTAAATTCAGCGATTTTATTTCCAACATGCTGTATTATTTAACTCATGCAAAGTTACGTCTTTATTGGGACAGGACTTGACGGATTATTTTACATGACTCCGTGAGTTGGTCTCTATTTCTTAGAGCCAAGCTGCATAAACTACATTTCAGGCATTTATGTAATTAATCTAATCTGTGCATAAATGGCTGTTATGTTAAATAAAGTTTACTAACTACAGCAAATCAAGTACCTGCACAATGCCGTTGTTGTCGTCTCGTCTCCCCTCAGATGCGCTGCAATGGCGATCCTGTGCGCAATTCTCAAACCACCCACAAGACGGCGGCGTTTATCGGTGAATCCGATATTACAAAACCGATATCCGATATATTATGGTAAAATGCTTAAATATCAGGAAAAATATCGGTAAATCGATATATCGGTCGATCTCTACCATAAACTCATTAGTCAGATAGAAAAATAAACTGTAGAGAGGGGCATTTTATAACATATTCATTATACATTTTACTGTTCTTCAATGTTTAATTTATGTTTGAATAAATCCATCAAGTTTTTATGACAGCCACCATTATGTTTATATTTAAAAAAATGAATTGAAGTAGAAATATTATATAATTTAACTATTATTTTAAAAACTTCATTAAGTGTAATTTTAACAAATCAGTCAATTTTAACCTTCAATATTATAGCAATGTAGTACCAACTGACTCTCATGTATATTTTACAGCATTAGTTTTTTCCTTGAGAAAATTTGGCATGTACTGTACCTGATACATAATCGATATTGAATCAAATCGAATCGAATTGGTAATCGAATCGAATCGCAAGCTTGTGAATGAGAATAGAATCGAATCGTGAAATTTGTGTCAAAACCCAGCCCTAGTATCTATAGGGTGTTTTTGTATTTATCACATTGTGTGCATAACCACAGGGAACAGTACCGACATTTTTACTGTGTTGGACTATATATGAATAGAAAATCCATTTACATCAAAATACAGCAGCCACTTTAGTCACATATTAAAATGTTATTAGATAACAACATATTGAACAATGTGACTTCAATGTTACAATTATATTAAATATATATAAATAACTTTTATTATTATAATTAACAACTATATATACATTGTTCAAAAATGACAGTTAATAAAAATATAATTGTTCAATGTTTGTTCATGTTAGTTCACAATGCATTCACACTTGTTAACTTTTGATTTTAAAAATGTGTTTGTAATTACTGAAATTAGCATCAATTAATGTAGCATTACTTATTATTAACAAACTAAAGCTTAGTGCGAAATGTCATCAAGTAAAGTTAGTTTAGAGAAAAGCTCTAGCAGAACTGGTTTTAGATTACATTCTTTTGTTTATGATATTTTCATCATAATCTCAACTAACAACAAATAATATTTTTACTGCATTTATTAATATAGCAGTTTAATGTTAATTTCTACATATACCAATACATTTATTATTTCAAGTAATAAATGCCGTAGGACATGTTCATTGTTATTTCATGATGCCCAATGCATTAACTAATGAGCAATGTCTATGCAAAAACATTTACTGTCCAAAAACTAATTGAAAGTCTACCAAGCAAACCGGCTTGATGATTTGAAAGCAAAATGTGAAGAACATTTTTTTTACGTAAAAAATAGTAAGAAGTAAAAGTAAAAGATGTTATTCATCCTGATCAGGTGATTTTTTTATATTACTGAAATTTATAGTGACAAAAAATACACCCAAACTACCACCAACCAATGTATTATACTAC